CTCTTTCCCATGGCATCATGCACGGTGCTGCGCAAAGCCCATCAGCTGAAAATGTCACCCCTGCAAGCTTCGTGGGGAGGAGGCGGCAGAGCTCCTCTCCCAAATGCGTTCCTTGTGCCCTCAGCACCCCAGGGAGGCAGTAGTAATGGTCCATAAACTTTTCTGCTTGCCTCATTTTTTCTCTATCATGCATGCACACCCCTCACCAATGCAAACCATGGCCAGAGCGCACAGCACGGCTTCAAGTTCAGGGCTGAGGAGCACTTTAGTAACAGCTCAATATATGAATAAATACAATAGGAAGCCACGCTCAGATTAATTCACAGTCAGCTGTTCCGTGTTGTGCCTAAAGAAGCAATGCTCCACTGAATGCGTGTCAGGATGATAGATCAGGACTTTTTTTTTTTCTTTTTTTAAATATTTCAGCTTAAAATGCAATTGGAAGATTGATTCTTTAGATCCTCACATTATATAAGGTCTAGGTCTTGAGTATAACTCAGCGTGAAGGGAGATGATCCTCATCTTCACCTTACAGAAATGCTGCATATCGCAAAAGCTGACAAAGGGTATGAATAAAGGTAAGGTATGGGGAGAGATAGCCATAAAATTATGAATGCCTGGTATTTACAGAATACCTGTACACAGTACTGTTAATCTATATTTTTGGTTGTTTTGAAATCACCTCTGCAAGGAAGATGTGTCTATCTGAATGTACTTTTTATTAGAATAATTACGTTTTTATTTTGGGGGGACACTGAGGTCATCTATTATTTTACTGTATTTGCCAGTGTATTATATTCATGGGAAAACATATTTATTCACAACTTCATTTTGATTTAATAGAAAAATGGTTCTTGCCACAGCAATGTGGAATACTCATTTTTCTCCATGTGTTGATTTTTGGCATATAAATGCCAGAAGCCTCTGTTCTCTTTGCTTATCAAGAAAAACTTGCCTGAGATTAATTTCCTCATCATCCCTTCCTTTTAAAGTGGCTGGTTTTCAATGCCATTTAAAGACAGAGTTGTGATAAATTCCTGTTTTCAATGTACAGATTTCAATGAAAGAGTCTATTCCACAGCAGTAAAGTAATTGAATCCAAATGGAAAGGGACAAAAAAAAAATAAATTATGAAATCGGGTGCTGCTACCCCAGCCAATTGTGTGAGAGGTGCCTTCATGTATTTTTCTTTCTAATGACAATTAGTTTTGAAATAAACTAATTGCAAAAGTTTTTATAGAGGGGAAGGGACATGCTTCTGACACCACTTTTTTATAATTGCAGATTGGACTAATTGAAGACTACCTATACCAAGTAGAAGACAATTACTTAAAGAACAAAAGGCTGAGAACAGCTAGGACAGAAAGAATGAAAATGAAGAGGACTCAAAGTACACAGCAACATTAGAGCCTAGGAAGCACAAAACTGTCCCTTACCAGCCCTAAAGACACGGCCACACAGGGAACAGAAAAATTAACACTGTAGATATTTGATAGATTGGTCAAAAAAGCCACCCTTCCATTTAATGAGCCTTCCCCTCACTATGGGGCATCTTTAGCAAGACACTCCTGCACTTTATTATTCTTAACTGGCTGGAATAAATGTCCATGAAAAGCTTATTTTAAATTGTCTTGTTTATTTAAATAGTAACACCCAGCCAAAAAGGGACCTGTATTTTCTGCTCTGAGAATATTCTTCATCCAAACTCTATAAAATCCTCCTGGTTTGATTATTGCCCAAGAAGCACTGAAAACAGGGATCCCTCCATCCTCAGCTAAGAGGAATTTGGCTTCACGTTGCCTTCTTTCCAGGTTAATGCCTTACACTGCAGATATTGGAACGCTGTGTAGGTAAGAAGTGGCATCCTGCACCTTAGGGCTGCAGCAACTACAAGTGCAAG